GCTGGTGCCCGGCGGGCAGTCGCCTGCCCGTTGGAAATCGGGCAAGGGGCAGCGGGTAGGTGGAGGGCACCCCTGCCCCCACCTACCCCCCACTGACTCACAGGGCAACTTTAGGTCCCAGGATCCCTTGTGGAACCCAAAACCATGTCTAGACACATTCAAACACATAACGGCAACACCACGTATTCAATTAGCGGAATTAAATCAGGAATCACACCAAATACGTTCTAACACGATCCCTAAACATGTCATAACCTAACATTAATCACATAACGGTTCAGGAGCATCCGGAACCACAAGTAAACGTTTTAGTGTGGGGGGATTTTGATATGCACATTTTACACTCATATTTTAGGTACATTTTTATAATATTTTCGTAGTAATTATTTCATATTATTTAACAATTAGTTATTTTTAGAGTTTAATAACTAATGAGCTAAATATAGTACTAGATATATATATAATATATATAATATAGAATATATATAAGAATATATACTAATATATAGTACGTACCACACTTCAAATATATATAATATATAATATAGAATATAGTTATATAAACACACATTAATATATACTACGCATTATAAACGCATATATATATATTATAATGTTAATGTGTGTTTTGGTCCAGCGCAAATTGAATTGAACAATTCAATTTGTTCCATTGAGGAAGCGGACAGAATGGAGAAGCATACGGAATACGGTTGAAAATTAGGAAAAATAGATGGTTGAGGTTCATTGAGCCTATTTTTAGAATGCTATAAATAGTAGGATTTTCCTATTGTAAAATGTTCATTCTTCCCCTCTCGAATATTCTTTAAGGTTGTTATCAATGCCCATTCGCGGCTAATTTCTTGTTTGGTTTAGTGAATTGAAGCCCCGGAGTTCATAACGCTGTAAGGTTATTTATTTATTTTTATTATATAATTTTTATGCATTTGAGTATTAAATATTCTTCTAAGTTATTTGAAGTAATTGTGTCATTTAATTGCTAGGGATGCCTACTAGTTATTTATTTGATATAATTATTTGCTATATTAGATAATGTTGTGCTACAAATTACTCTAATATTCAATAGCAACTGGGTTAATTATTGACGGCTTAGTGATAATTGGACTCGGGTAGAATATTTTCCTAAATTAAATGCAACCGCTTGTGCTTGTGTTATTTAGTTTGTTGGTTTTCCTAGTTCCTATTGCTGCTATTAAATTAAATCTATAGCGCTTGTCTTAGGTTATTTAGTAGTTAGGGGTAATTAAACCGCTTGTGCTTACCTACAACTAAGGGAAAACAGAAATGAAATAATTTCACGACAAATATTCAATTGCATATTAATTACTTTATAAATCAATGATCAGTGTTAAACTCCGGTGGTGGATCTTTACTGACCAAGGTTTCTTATTATAAGTGTTTTCGATATATTATTTTCACTGTTTATTCGTTCGATTAAATTTCTCGTTTATTTAATTTCTCTTTTATTTAATATTTATTCTCGATATATTCCAAACCCCCCATTATTTCCTTGAGCACAAAAGTTAAACTAGTTACTCCTCGTGGGATCGATCCTTACTCCCGCTACTACGTTTGTAAGGTTTTAATTTGGGAGCCTACGACAGCTCACCAGATTTGAAGGTCGTAACACGGGGTGTTACACGGCCGATATAATTAGTGACGGAGGCATCACCCTGTTGCAGTGTCTGAAGTTGCCCGAGAAGGTTCAACGAGCGAGACCGAGACGAAGAGGCAAGTGCGGAGGTAACGCCAGTCCACACTGCAGGGCTGGTGTGATGTCCGATAGTCAAGGATATAACTTCATCAGACAACGATGGCATGAGCATAGAGAGAAACGCCTGATCCTGACGAACCCATGGATGATAGGAAGGATTCAGCAGAGGTGGCGCTCCCTCTTCGCCAGACGAGATCGTGGCGGGCGGCTAGGGATTGGTTCCGTCGATGAAACTCATTAGGTCATGTTCGTTGAGAAAAGGAACAACTTGAGCCCTCCAAATAAGAAGTTCCGGTAAGCCGTGGAGATGGTGGTTACGGTTGAAACAACCAATGAGAGAGGGGCATTAGAAACGGTCCATTCAGAAGAATTGACAAATCCGTCGGTCATTTGAAAAAAAAAAAAAAAAAAAAAACCATAAATAACTGATATCATATGAGAACTGTAATTAATTGTATAAACATTGATGAATTACAATCAATAAAGTAAGAATGCTAGTTTAAAATGTTTAATTGCTAGTTTAACAATAGCATAAAGTAACGCTGGAGCCTTATCCCATAAATAAATTTTAAAAAATAGAAATCAAATGCGGTGAATCAACCAATAGCATTGAATACTTAGCTTGTTAAAGTAGGAATCAAATTGCTTTAGTGAAAAGCCACTTTTAGATTGTGCATTGCATGCTTGTCTCGTTAATTACTTTAATTTCGTGAAATGCAAGTGTGTGTCTCAATTTGCATTTTCAAATCATAATTGATTGGACACAGCAGCTTACCTCGTGAGGTGAGGTCAAAGGTGGATGGATGGCATCCAACTTCCTCTTCATTTCCCAGCAGACAACAATAAAGCAACAACGCTTTTTTAGACATAATATTTGAGTTATTTTTTTTTTATTATAGATTTATAAGTGACAGTATTTTTTTTTCAAAATATTTTCATTTGGTCCTAGTATTATTGTGGCAAGACCATTTTTGGTCCTCTATCAACAAAATCGTTTAAATTCAGTAAAACACAAAGGCATTTAGGTCTTCAATTATGATTTTGTTCAAAAAAAAAATAAAAATATAGAGGGTCAATGTACTTTGTATAAAAAAAATTAAAAAAAAATCAAAATATTCTTGTATTTAACAATATTTCAACGATTTTGTTGACGGATGACCAAAAATGGTCATGCCACAAAAATACTAAGACCAAAAGATGATGTTCTAAAAAATGACTAAAAGTGGACTGTCACCTATAAATTTAGAACAAAAAATAAAATGTTACTAACTAATAAATTCAGTATTAGTTATTTCGTTTAATTTGTTGATGGAAATGATTAATTTTTTAGTTTTTGATTTTTGGTTTTGGAGTTGGTTTGATTGAAGTCGATTTTGATTCATTTCGTTTAAATTCATATTTCTATATACAAAAAAAAAAATGATATATTATTCTAGTAAAAAAAATTACTTTAAATTGTTTCAAGTGTGATATATAACAAATACATAATATTTTTTAACAAAAAAATAATACTTTTTTATGAGTTAACAAATAATATTGCATATTATTGAAAATTTAATATTTGTTGTCTCATACACAAATATTACATTTTCATTAAAAAAATAATATTCCATCTATCTCATTTTACCTATCTTGTTTATTAGTTATTAACTAAATCAATTTTTTATTTTTTATTTTAATTTTTTTTTTGTGTTTATTAATAATACTTTTAATATAATTTTTAAATATATATAAATTTATATACTAATATTAAAATTAATAATATTAAAAAATTAAATTGTAATTTGTAAATAATTTTAGTCAAGCTTTGTTAACTAATAAGATATATATAGATATATATATATATATATATATATATATATATATATATATATATATATATATATATATATATATATATAACAAAAGATGGAATTATAAATAGGTTATTTCACTCAAAACGACATTGTTTTGAGCGAAATAACCTTAAATTGTTCAAACTGATATTTTTTAGGTTAATATTTAATATTTTAGTATTAACTATTACAGTACGTTTGGTTCACAGAATGAATTTTGAGGTAATAGGAATATTATCCCATAAGGAATGAAATAAGCAAGGAATAGAATAGGAATTGTATTATACTGTTTGGTTCGCGAAAGGAATAGACTTTAAGAATTATATTACAGTGTTTGGTTGGTTTAAGGAATAGAATGAATTATGTTTCAAAAGACATAAATACCCTTATAAAAATATGTGGTGGTGTTGGTGGTGGTGGTGGTGGCAGTGGCGGTGGCGATGGTAGCAGTGGTTGTGGTGGTGTGGTGGCAGTGGAGGTGGTGGCGGCGGCGGTGGTAGCAATGGCGGCGATGGTTGTGGTGATGGTGGCGGTGGTGGGGTGGTGGAGACGGCGGCAGTGGTGGCGGTGGTAGGGTATTTTCGGTATTATAGTTCTAAAGATATTCCTAAATACTTGGGAATAGCTAATACCAGGGGGGTCCCCTAGGAATGGTTATTCCCCCTGCAAAGGGAATAGCTCATTCCCGGGAACGCTATTCCCTTGAATAAAATGACAAAACAAACAACGGAATAGGTCTATTCCTGGGAATGGTATTCCATTCCCGACCTATTCCATGAACCAAACACGCCATTAAAGTATTAAATAGTTTATAATTCTTAATTCTTAAAAAAATAAAAAATAAAAATGTAAACAATTTTTTTTAAAATATAAAATAAAATAAAAATACACGGACGCCTAGGCGATATGTGCCTCTCGAGCGTCCGAGTAGTGCCTAGCCATTTTTGCAACCATGCTTCAAACTAAGAAGGTCATTAACAGAGTCCGATTCTCAGCCGGCCAGTTAGATTTCACAATGATAGATTATCAACACAAAATACATGTGATCACCCTATTTGTGAACGAATAACCATTTTAGGTCGAGAGATTATTATAAATATCATCTCGCACACCCTAAAAGGGGGATGAATAATTTAAATTTCATACCAAATCTAGCTTTGGTACTTCGCTATTTTATCGCCTGGATTTTTAGATATTTTGTCAATTCCGACCTATAATTGTATGTTGGGATTGTAGTGTAGCTATTAAAACCAACATAGTTATGGCTTTTAACGTAGTAACAAACGCTTAATCTTGAAAAAAAAAAATGTAAAAGATACTCTCTAAATGATAAGTAAGTAAAATTTGAAGTGGCGGTTTCTCGGGATCATGACAACCAAGTACATATAGTATCTACTTGGGTATTGGGGTGATCTCAAGGAGACATCATAATGTTGATATACAAAGCAATTTACAATTCATAAATCAGTAGTAGAGTATCTATTTGGGATGCAAGAAATCTGGGCACAAAGAGACCTTGAGTATTAATGCTGAAGGTCTGTACAGATTAACAACAAAAGAAGCAGCAAAGCAAAACAGAATATATCCATGGCTTTTGATCCTACTCTTTATAAGAACTAAGGATTATATATATATAAATATATCCTATCCTTTCAGCTGTAAATGAACTGAGCAATACAGGAAGGTAAAAAGAGTGAAGAAGTTATCATCATTTCGGTTTCTGATCAGGTCCAATTGCTTCTAGCCATGACACAACATGATCGATTGTGGGCCGCTGCCTTGGATCCTGGTGTATACACTTACAAGCGATGGCCAAAACCTCCAACAGTTGCTTCTCGAGATCTTTATCCCATATTGACGAATCAAATATTTCCTCCTCCCGCTTCTCGAGTTTCATCTGTAGCACCCATGACACCAAGTCCCTGCAGTTCTTTCCTTTGCACACTTCCACAGGCCTCTTACCTGTGAGGAGCTCTAAAAGAACAACACCAAAGCTGTAAACGTCGCCCCTAAATGTGGCTGTCAATGTCTGGCTATACTCGGGAGGAATGTAGCCCAGTGTTCCGACCAAATCTGTGGTCACATGTGTATCATAGGGGCATAATAGCCTCGAGAGGCCGAAATCAGCCAGATGAGCTTCAAACCGTTCGTCCAGAAGAATGTTGCTGGTTTTTATGTCACGGTGGACTATATTTGGCTCCTTGTGTAAGTAGGCTAATCCACGAGCAGACCCTTGAGCTATCTTCAGTCTCGCATCCCATGTTAAGAATGAAGTGCCATCCACGCTCTCGTGTAGCCAGTAGTCCAAGCTTCCGTTTTCCATATACGAGTATATCAGCAGCCTATCGCTCCCGTGTCTGCAGTAGCCTTGAAGAGCAACGAGGTTTTTGTGCTGAGCTCTTGAAAGGGCTTCTACCTCAGCTTGAAATTCGCGTTCCATTTGGCCACAGTCCCCGGAGAGCCTCTTGATTGCAGCTTTGGTGCCATTCGGTAGGTCAGCCTTGAACACTAGACCAAATCCTCCACACCCAATAATGTTCGACTGGTTGAAGTTGTTTGTCGATTTTAACAAGTCTGCAACAGTAAGATCCTTGCAATCCGAAATCTGAAAAAGGACCAACTTGGATGGACCAAATGCCTCGGATAATCTCCCCGGTCTGCTCATCTCTTCCTCCAAATCATCTATCGGGCACTGCTCGTTTCTTCTAGACATTTTTAGCAGCACAAAAGCAAGAAGCACCATGATTCCAACTGCTAAGCTGATAGCTATACCAATAATACTACTTCTCTCGAGCCCTTTGCTGGAAGAAGCTGATGGCGCGGGTTGTTGGAGACCAATGTTATTGACAGCACAGGGAGAAATAATCTTTCCACAGAGTCCAGCGTTTCCCTCGAAGCTCGAGTTGGGAAAGCTAAAGAACTGACCCCCGGTTGGAATTGCACCCTTCAAATGATTGTATGCAACACTGAATTTAGACAGGAAAGTAAGCTTGTTGAACGAAGATGGAATTGATCCGTAGAGCTCATTATGGGATAAATCCAAAACCTCTAGATTCGACATCTCTGAGATTGAGTCAGGGATAGTCCCGGTTATGTTGTTCATGCTCAAGTCAAAGACATGCAGTTGCTTCAATTGTCCAATCTCGGGCCAGATTGTCCCGTTTATTCTGTTATTGCTCAAGTATATGGAAGGAGGAAAGCTCGAAACTTGGTTGTATTGCAAGCCACTACTACTCAAATTTCGCTTTACAAAGAATGGAATGATAGTTGAAGAATTGAGACTGGATAGGTAGCTACAAGGGGAAATTAGGCTCTTTAGCTCTGTCAAACTTTTCGGGATTTCTCCGGTGAGTGAATTATTCGAAAAATCCAAGTAAAATAACCTATCCATTTTACCAATCCAAGAAGGAATACTACCATCCAAATGATTCCAAGACAAGTCAAGAACCTGCAATTTACTACAATTGTACAACCACATTGGAATCTGACCACGCAGCCCACAATTTCCCAATGCCAAAAATGTTAGGTTCTCGAATCCACTCACGTTATTGGGAATTTCTTCACCATTAAAGTTTATGGTGAGAACAAGTGTGGAAAGGTTTTGACAGTGCTGCAGAACAGATAAAGCCCCAGATAGATTTTCGAAACTGTTGTTGGACAATGTGAGAAATTCAAGGGACGAAAGGCTAGCATAACTCTCGGGTATCGATCCTCCTAACTTATTCTTGGAAAGGCTCAAGACTTTCAACTCCCGACAACTGGAAAGAGATTCTGGAAGAAGTCCAGAGAAATGGTTGGTTGCAAGGTCAAGATGGCAGAGTTTAGGCAATCCAGTGAAATCAAGATCAATGTGACCAGACAATGAATTGTTCTTAAGATCAAGCACTTGTAAGCTAGAGCAAAGTGCCAATGTAGAGGGCAATCGCCCCGAGAACAAATTCGAATGCAGGACTAAAAGCTCTAATCGAGTCAAATTTCCAAACACATCAGGAATAACACCAGAAAATTGATTTGCACATAAAACTAAGGATTTGAGATTTGAAAGCTTACTGAGCTCTCGGCCTAACTGGCCGGAGAAGCTATTGGCAGAGACTGAAAGATGCTCCAATGATGACATTGAGTATAAAGACTGAGGAAGTTCTCCTGAGAGAAAATTGAAATCCAAATGCAGCTCTCTGAGAGATAAGCTGCAATTCTCCAAGCCTTGAAGAACACCAGTAAAATGGTTCATTGAGAAATCCAAAACTCTAATATTTTTGGATACACTGCAAATGTGAGAGCTGAGAGCACCAGAAAATGAATTGTTGCTTACATTGAGCACAAGAAGAGCTGGGAATTCACCAAAATCAATCAAGTCTCCAGTGAATTTATTGCTAGAGATATTGATTGAGTGGATTGATTCCAACCCATTGAGTGCTCCCAACACTGCTCCATTGAAAAAGTTGTAGCTCAAATCAAGAACTTGAAGCTGCTTCAATTTGGAAAAATCCACCAAGGGTAATCCACCATCTAGATGATTGTGTGACAGATCAAGGAACCTTAATTCCCCCAAAGTTTCAAGAGATTTTGAAACTACCCCTTTTAGCCCCTTCCCAGACAAATTCAACTTGATCACCCTCCCTGCGGCCAAAGAGTTGCCACCACCTTCACATTCAACACCATCCCATGTGCAGCAATTGGATTCATCAGACCATGATGAGAGAAAGGAGCCTTTAGTTAGGTTGCCTGCAAATTGCTTCAAGCCCAGCAAATCACTGGGATGGCAATTTTGAATTGGGGTTTCAAGACCCAAACATGAACAAAAGACACAAACCAATAACACTAAATTCAGAAAACTCATCAGGGTAACTCAGAGTAAAACTCCCAGTCAGATTCCCAGATCAAAAACCAAGAACACAGCAGAAGCAGAAACTCCAGACCCACATCTCAAGACACCTCAAAACCCACACTGCAGCTTCTAGTTCAACCAGGTCTTCTCCCACAAATCAAGAACCCTAAATACAAACACCACAAATCAAGAAAACTCAAGCCCAAATCCTAGCAGGGGCTATAAATGAGGAAAACAGCCTTCTTTATCTAACACAGTAACAAAGAACAGATTTTTTTCAACACCCAATCCCTTGCAAGGGAAGCAACCCAAAAGCTAAACAGGGAAGTCAGTGACCCTCGCCACTTTCGCTCATTCCATACATAAAAAGAACGACAGAATCTGAAGAAAGAAACAAAATAAGGAAAGTGAGGAACAAAAAAAGTGGGAAATTTTGAGTAGTATTCTAAGCTGCTAGAGTCATAGAGATTTCAAATCAGAACAACAGTCAAGACAAGAAACGAAGGGCCATCTCAACACTGCAGGGCTGCAAAGACAGGAAAAGGAAAGGGAACTCATGCTTTCATATTTGTCTTTCTATATATAAAATCTAGCCATTCTTAATGCTCTCTGTGGACCAAAAAACCGGTAGACTGATTTGAAACGGTGACGCCAATGGCTGACTTTTTCCCCTTTTTTTCCCTTATTTTATTAATGTTTTGTGTTCTGTCACAATCTCTCCTATGGTGTTCACAGTGTAATACTGTAATCTAACGGTTGATTATACTTTTTTTTTTTTGGTAGCTTTAAGCCTATAAGTTGGATAAATGTTAAGTTTTTATGAATTATTTGTAATTTTATTTTACAAATTTGTTAGCCAATAATTTTGGGATAAAATTAATTAAATGATTAGTAAATATGGTATGATTAAATAAATTGTTAGAAATATTCCCTTTAATAAATGCTTTTTGAATAGTTTTAATATAAGACGTTATAACGAAATTTAATAATTTTATCTCCGTAAAATGTGATGTACGTATAATATTTTAAGTTTAATGTACAAACATAATAGGTTTAAAAATACAGACAAAACAATTATATAATCTAGATTCATACATATAATGGTTTTAAATAAATTAAGATATAATACAAAAATTATTGTGAAATTGTCTCAAAATAACTTCATTTCAAATATATACTTCATCCATCTTTTTTCTTTTATATATATATATATATATATATATATCTTATTAGTTAACAAAGCTTGACTTAAATTATTTATAAATTACAATTTAATTTTTTAATATTAGTATATAAATTTTTATATATTTAAAAATTATATTAAATTAATAAACACAAAAAAAATTAAATTAAAAAAATAAAAAATTGATTTAGTTAATAACTAATAAACAAGGTAGGTAAAATGGGATAGATGGAATATTATTTTTTTTAATGGAAATGTAATATTTGTGTATGAGACAACAAATATTAAATTTTCACTAATATGCAATATTATTTGTTAACTCATAAAAAAATATTATATTTTTGTTAAAAAATATTAGCTATTTGTTATCTAGCACACTTGAAACAATTTAAAGTAATTTCTTTTTACTAGAATAATAAATCATTTTTTTTTTGTATATAGAAGTATGAATTTAAACGAAACGAATCAAAATCGACTTCAATCAAACCAACTCCAAAACCAAAAACCAAAAAAATAAAAAATAAAAAATAAAAAAAAAATTAGTAGTCAATTTGGTTTATTTGAATTCAATTCTTTTCCCCAATAATTCATTCAAAGTGTGGATTTCCATGTTGGCTAGTTGACTAGTTTTTTCTTTGAAATTCTAATTTTTAAAATTTGAGGAATGAGGTTTCATGAGATCAGTTTTGGTATTTTAAATTCTTTGGGAAGAAAAGTAAACAAGAAAATGTTACCCTCGTGTATCATTATTGTATTTATTATGTATGAGACATTTAATTTAATTTGAGTCTTTATATTTATTATTCATAATATAATTCATTTCCACAAACCAAGAAAATTTGTCCTTTTTCATTTTATGAAATTTAAATTCTACTCTTCAATTTCTTACAAATTCTTTTCTAGCAAACCAAACGACTATATAGATTTATTTTTTATTTATTTATAATAGATTTTTTTTGTTTGTTTTAGTTTAGTTTTGACCCTTAATACTCTATACAATCTAAAATTATACGTCAAATCAAAATCAAAATATATAAACTTAAAATTAAACTATAATTCAATACCTAAACAATATGGTTTTATAGGAATTTGATTTCTTAGCATTTGTTTTGGTTTATGTGATTATTTTCTATTTGTTTATCATTGTAATTTTAAATTCTTCTTTTATTTTTTAATATTATTATGTGTATTTAATGAGATTTGAAAGTTTTGAAAAATTAAAGGCTATTTTCTTTGAATGTATAAGTGTCAAATTTGTTCATCTATTTGAACTGAAAATGTAATTAGACTACCAAATTACTTTAAAAAAATTACAACTAATATTTTTTTTAGGTGGCATCATCAATTATCAAATAATTTCCTTGATTTGGCACCCTAAATGGAATAAATTTTTTTTTTCTTCAACAATCAATAATTCCTTCACCATCAAACACGTTTTTAATCATCTACTTTGTAACTGATCATCCACTTTAATTTGTAATGTAACTGACAACTTTTTGTCCACCTTGTCGTCAACTTTTTCATCCAACAATAACTTTTATCCACCAATTGTCTCATCTAGTCACGATAGTTGTCTTCTAGGAAGACAAATCTAGCTAGCCTAACATTGGATACAACGATGGTTGTAACGATTTATTTAAAAAAAAAAAATTCATAATGGCTGTCCAACTAAATATTTTTTAAAAAATTCATATACTTTAATTATTTCCATGTCAATACCACGCAGGGAAAGTATAAATGAAGTTACTAGAAAAATAAAAAAAAAATTAAAAAAAAAAAGATTGATTACATAACTTGTTAACTTTAATGGGTGGATTACACTATTCTTTTAATTTTAATGGTTGAATAGTACTTTTTTCTTAGTTTAGTAACTTTATTTTTTGAAAACCTTAGTTTAGTAACTTATTTTCATTTTTGTTACAAATTGAGCGGTCTATTTATAAATTCTCTTTATTATGAGTTCTTTATTTTTTATTTTTAAGATTTTGGATACATGGAAAAGCTTTAAGTTAAATTACACAAAACATAGTCATACCACTTCAATACTATTCAATGTCAAGATTGATCACATCACTTCTATTGGGGAATTAAAGACTTGCCATCTAAACGGTCTATTATATATCCATTATATATTATCATTCAATCTGCATAAAATTTTGTTCAATACAATGAAATCATTAAATTAAAATGTTTAATTTTATTTCAAGTTGATCAAATTCTAACAATATTTTAAACTGAGGGTCCATTTGGAAACTCGGAAAATGACTTTTGAAAAATGTTTTCTGAAAAATAAGTTATTTTCCAAAAAACATTTTTTTCGGTGTTTAGCTGCACAACGGAAAACTGTCTTTGTGTGTTTGGTTCATTTTCCAGAAAATGAGCGGGAAAATGAACAGAATTGTATAGTTTAACATTTTTATTGTTTGATACTTTTGATAAAATTCTTCCGTAAATAGCACTAAGTCTTGAGAATAATTTTGAATATATATATATATATATATATATATATATATATATATATATATATATATATATATATATATATATATATATATATAGGGTTGCATTCACATGCAAACACCCTTAAAATACAAACTTGTGGACAAATTGAGACCATAGGATTAATGGGTGTGGATGGCTTAGATTGATCCAACAAATAAGCATAATTTTGGATCAGATCTTTTAAAAAGGGGTAAAAAGGGTAAAGGATGCAAAATTTAAATATGGATATAATATTAATAATAGAATGTCGCGTGTTTTAATCAAGGAAGAATTCCTCCATTCATCTGCAATTCCATTCCCACCACGCTATCACCCCTTCAAACAGGAATTTGCGCCGCCACACCAGAGAGAGACGAGTTCGACAGTAGAGAAGGTATAGTAAATGGCTACAACAGAGAAAGGTAAGCACTTCTATCCTAGTGAATATGTGTTATAATTAGTACATGAATATGTTGTTTTCCAAAGCAATCCATGTAAGGAATTTATGAATGTATATGCACATGTATAATAGGGAATACACATGAATTCAGTGTGATTACGGATTATGAGATGACTAAATGAATGGCGAAAAGTAAATCAGCAACACTGGATCAATGTAAGCATTTTGTGTGCACTGCTAGTAATGAGTGTGCACACGGGTGGAGCTACTGCTGGGAAAACATGGTGAGTACAAGAGAGGGACATTCGGTTATAGTGTGCATACATAACTGTACGGCAATGCACACACCCACCATATGAATTAGAACATAGCTAGCCACTGTTATCCACTAAAATTAACTGAATTTCTGTAAATCATATTTTATATTTCAAAAAATATATATCCATTTGTAGCGTAAAATTAGTAGAATACATTATGACAATAAAAACCTAAAACTTGTACTTTTATAGTGTATGCATCTTGAGTATCATGGTTTGAATATGATGAGTTTTTTGGTATGTTAGAAAGGGACAGTAGGAGGTTTAATGGAGAATACATATTCATATAATAATATGAATGCACACATAATTTTTGGTCAGTGGACAAATAATCATATATGGTGGTGTGTGTGTGAAACTGTGATAAAATGTGTGCACGTGTGTATTTCCAGATTTTCTGTTTGTGGTTCTCATTATAGGAATGGTAGGAGCATGGGCTGACGTCCTTCCATTAGGTGTGTTATGTAGGCATATCTTGTTGGTTTTCAAGGAAGAAGGGGTCGAGAACATTCCATGATGCTATATTGTTCTGCGGTGGATAAGAGATTCGTGTGCACAAACGATGTATGATGTAGCATGGGTAGCAAGCACGAATATGTAGGTGGAGACTGAAGTGAAATCAGTTGTCAATCAACTTTGGAATGAATTCTACAATTGCATGGGATTAACCAACGGTTGGCAAAAAAAAATGGAACAAATGTTGTCAGGCTACAATAGCTAAAAGAAGAGTTATAAAGTGCCAGACAGCCAACCCAACAAATTCGTACCAACCAAACTGTGATTGAATCACTAAGTCAAGCAACATCACCTGGAGAAATTTACATTAAAGCACCTACAATTGCAAAGAACATAGGAGTGGGAAGGGATTGACAGCTTTTCGTCCACCTTGTCGTCACCTTTGTCATCCAACCATGGCTTTTATCCACCAATTGTCTCATCTAGTCATGATAGTTGTCTTCTTGGAAGAGAGATCTAGCCTTACTTCGGATACAACAATGGTTGTAACGAATTTTTTTTTTTTTTTTTATGTAAATTCATAATGGTTTTCCAACTATTTTTTTTTTTTAAATTCACATAAACATTAATTATTTAATTTCCATGTCAATGCCACGTGCGGAAAGTATACATGAAGTTACTTGAAAGAAGATAGATTGCATAACTTTTTAACTTTAATCGATGGATAGTATTAAAAACAAAAAAAA